CTGGCCGGTGCTGGTCGTGCTCGCGGTCGCCGCGGCGGGCTGTGCCCAGGCGGCCATGGACGAGTGCACGGACGCGGGCGGGCGGCCCCTGCGCTGCATGCCAGAGTTCGTCAACGCCGCCTTCAACGTGACCGTGGTGGCCACCAACACGTGTGGGACTCCGCCCGAGGAATACTGTGTGCAGACCGGGGTGACCGGGGTGACCAAGTCCTGTCACCTGTGCGACGCCGGGCAGCCCCACCTGCAGCACGGGGCAGCCTTCCTGACCGACTACAACACCCAAGCCGACACCACCTGGTGGCAAAGCCAGACCATGCTGTCCGGGGTGCAGTACCCCAGCTCCATCAACCTCACGCTGCACCTGGGTAAGCGGTGACAGCCCTGTCCCCACTACTGCTCGCCACAGCCCAGCTCGCAGGCTGTCTCCACTCCTGTTGTAGCTAGAGGGGCTCAGCTACAGCCCGGCGTGGGCTGCGCAGAAATTCCTTTCTGCAACTTCTAAAGTTGATTGAACTCATGACATCCGGTGAGGGCCAAGACGCTCCATACCACACTGATGTCTGCTTTCTAGTGCTTCCTAACTTACCGGCTTTTTGCTTGATAGAACATTTGCCATTTCGATTATTAGGATGTCGGTCTTTGCCTGTCTCCCAGCAGGGCCATCCCAGCGCATGCTTGCGTTCAGACAGGAAGATCACTTTAAACACTCTTGCGCTGAAGACACTTAGACGTGTCTGTCTCCAGGATTGAGAGTGATTGCTGTTTGGTCTGTTGAGTTAAGGGAATTCCAAGGGCGCGATTGCCTCTATTACCTATGTGTAAGCAAGCTAAAGATTCACTTTTAAAGTTACTGTTCTTTGGAGCTATTCTGCTTTAATTAAGAGCCACAAAGCGATCACTGCTAATCCTGTTTCAGAGGAAACAAAAGGAAATGCCTGTACTCACTGTAATTGCTGGGCACAGTTTTATTCTTGGGTAAAAAAGTTTTCACTCTCCTGGCTTTGATTCCAAGCAACTGTAGAAATGCACAGAAGTGACTTTTTAGAAGTCAGGAAAGGGATGCACCAAAAACTGCGCAGTCGGCTGTCAATGGAAGCATTAATTATTAACATTTATCAGAAAGTGTTAAGGAAGTTTGATCTAACCTTCATTATTGAGGCATGTAACAAGCAGAAAATTTCATTGTTCTTTCAAAGGGCAGCATATGTGTGAGAAACTGATTTGATTTGTAGGACTTCGGTCCCCATTGCGCTGGGAGACTTGATTTTACCAGTAGCTGGCACTAATGAACTTCCAGAGAGAGGACAGACTGCCCCAAGCCATTCTTCTGTCAAAGCAGGGTAATTCTGTAGAGCTAATAACATTATTTAAGATTGTTTGAAAGGGACATTTTGTAGGCAAATGGTTCTTTTGATCATGATTTGTATTTTTTCCTCACTGCTCCCTAGCACACCAAACTTTATGTAAGAATCAAGATGCCAGAGAAAGATTGTGATTTACAAAAAGTACTTTGAAAAGGGTAATTATACTGTGTGTGGAAGAAATTTTTGAAAGCGGTATTTAGCACCCTTTGTATTAAATATTTTATTTGTAGATTAGTTGTTAGATGAAACTTTTGAAAATGAGTTTATAGGGGCTGGGGAGATGGCTCAGTGGAATAAGCGCTTCCCTAGCAAGCGCAAGGGCCTGAGTTCAATCCCCAGTTCCGCAAAAAAAAAAAAAAAAAAAAAAAAAAAAAAAATCAGTTTATAAAATAAAACTCTCAGGTGCTTTTCAGTAATTGAAGATACAGACTATTGAGTTGAGGTTTTTTTTTTTTTTTAAAGGCGATAGAAGATGTAAGAAGTAGTAGCATCTTGGGGCAGGTGGTTTTCTAAAGTCATTGCAATAGACCCAGGGTTTCCCAAGATTTTGTGGGACTTTTGTGGTCCTTAGCCATTTTCTCCTATTACATTAAAAAAAATAGGCCAGAATTATTTTCACACCTTATATCCAATTTTTGCTAAAATTTCGACTTACTAAAGTTTTCTGTTCAGTTTTGAATATTCTGGAAGTGTTAACTTATCCATTTTCAACATTTGAAAAACCTTGCAGAAAAGTTACTGTCTTGATGTGTGAAAGTGCCTGAATTTCAGCTGAAAAGTCATGAACAGTAGGCTGTCCATCTTGGATTTCCTGGTGTTCTGTTGGAGGTAGGAGGCAGCTAAGGTTTATTGTAAGTGACCACGGAGGTAGGTACATCATTCATCAGCGTTTTCTTCGCTGTTGGGTGGATGGTGTGCCAGAGTAGCAGGTAGATCAAGCTGAGCTGCTGCTTGTAGGAGCAGACATGGTAACTTTGGACCATAGTAATAACAAAGTCAAAAGAGATCTTGGGGTTCCCTTAGTTAGGACTCCCAACTGACTTTTTTGCCTTAAGAGTGTTGTGTACTGGGAACTAGTTTTTGTCCATAAAAAAAAAAAAAAAAATCTTGTTTTTGGAAATAGGTTTGTTAAATAACATTCATAAAACTATGTTTAACATAAGTAATGCATTGCACTAGGAGGTTAAGACAATTGTGATGTCTCCAGGTGACAGGAATTTTTCAGGTCTACCATGATTTTGTAGGACCACTGTTATAAATGTGGTCTTGTATAACAATATTCCATCATGCCACACTGGACTGTGTTATTTTTTGTATTTCTTTTCTCCAGTTATTGTTTTGCCTTCTTTTGCCATGTGCTTTGCCTGTTTTATTCAGCCCTGCAGCCCCAGTTAAGTGCTTGACATAGAGTAAGCACTCAGTAAATATTTGTAGAATGACAAAAGTATCACTAGGAGGATTAAACCAAACTGCTGATGTAAAATTTAATAAAGATTATGTTTCCAAAAAACCACACACAAAAAAAGCTGCATTTAAAACTCTTTAAGAAAAAGACAGTTTTGACTAGTTCCTATTATACTTGTTTTTGGATTGGAAATGATGCCTGGGAGTAAATTAAATGTAGTGGAAGAGGGAGGAAGATTTGTGTGCAGCACGGCTGATTTTCCTCCCCGTTTCATTTCAACGATGAGGCTAATTTATGTGTGCATGAATGTTAGAATCAGCAGTTCATGGCAAATAGGCAAGGCTTTATTTATCATGTGTGTTTTGATATTCATCATATTCACTTCCTGACTCCATTTATTCCACAGGCTCTAGCTAACTAATTATTTCCCATGAATTCAAGGACCATGACTGTTTTGTGCATCCATTAAATCTTCCGCCCAGTTCAGATTTCACATACCCTTAAACAAGTGATGCATATTGTGCTTTGGCCCTCCAGAGCATGTGAAACTCAAGTGAGCAGTGTGCTTCAGGCTTGCTGCCACTTTCGTAGGCTTCCTTTTGATGTGGAACTTTAAACACAGTAAACCTTGGAATAAGTGAAGCCAGATCAAGCCAAGCCAGATCATACTTAAGTAGTTGCAAGAAGCCTATGTTGGGTACTGATCAGAAGTCACTTTTTATTATAAAAATGATATGTGGCATGATATATTTAAACAGTAAATACAAGAGCAAGCAAGTCTGTCTTTTGCTAAGTTCAATGCACCAAAGACCACAAATTCACAAATTTCTTATGTAAACATGAAATTTTCACATACTTCCCAGATTATCTGATCCTTCTAACTGGTGCCTTTGGTTTGTGTTTAGGTGGTGGCTGAGGCATTCTCTAACATATGGCAGGTACAGATTAGATGATTATGCCAGTATCATTCCCTTCCTGTACAAAGGCCAGGAAATTCAGCATTGATCCTGAAAGCTGCTGTTTTATTTAAGACCCATATATCATAATCCTATGTGCAGGGTGCAGTTGTAAAGAGCTAAAGTTATGGGAACGGGAGCTGTATTTTTTCTCCTGTGGAGACAAATCTCACCAGACAGTGTTTCTGAAAAGTCTTTCTTATTTTGCTTTCAACTTTTGGGTCTTCTCTACTAACTTATGTATGTGTTATTCAGTTAACTTTTTATTTATTTATTTTTACATATTTGGTGTAGGATCTCACTACACACGCAGCTCCAGTGCCGCCATGCTTGGTCTTGATGGCTGGCTATGGCCATAGCCCAGCTTGGTGTATGGTGCCGGGGATCGAACTCTGCTCTCTGCGCTTGCCCAAGACTGAGCTATCTCGCCAGCCCCAGCTAACTTTTTTTAAACAGTTTTGCTTTTATGCTTCATACTAACAAGTTACAGCGAGTTTAATCACTGTCCAGGGATAGTTGAGTTGGTAGCACCATTGTAGCTGAAGCTTGGCCTTTTATTAAACAGTCCATTTAATTAATTTTATAATCATTGTGAATGGAAACTTGGCAGACAGGGCCTTGAATCTTGGAGGAAGGTAGCTTTCTGTCTTCTTAAAGCAACTAGGTTAAGAAAACAGTGCTTGTATAGCTGACTCAATCACGGTTTACAGAACTCCCAAAATTAACAGGGAACACAAATTAGTTGCAAGATCCTCAGTTGCTAAGAATCTATGGTGGATTAAGTGAGGCTCTTTGCTGCATATGTGACCATTGTTTTTGTTTGTATAAATAAGAATAATTGATACATAAGGTATTGCATTATATTCTGCTTGGCCTTCTAATAAGTGTGTATGGGACAAACAGCATGCTCCCCACCCCCAGGAGAATCTTTGCAAGGTAGGCTCTTACTGTGTCAGCAATAGCTCACTCTGGTGACTTCACTGTGGTATTTTTGTACCCCGAGGGGACACTATTTTAGTTTGTCTCACAAAGGCCTGATTTTCATTTTGCAGGTTTCAACTTGAGATGTTAAGGAGCTGTTCTTTAATGGCCAGTATTTGTTGAACAGTTTTATAAAAGTTGCTGTTGGCTGTTTTCCTCTTCTCTAGTTCATTGCTTTTTCTGCAAATTCCTTCTCCACTTTTCTAAGACATGCAGAAAAAAACAGAAAAGCCTTTCCATACCAGAGCAGAAGTTGGAGCTATAAGGCATCCCTTTCACCCCATCAATTTGTCACTGATCACATTTGTGGAAGGAATAAAATTTGACTATTTCAGCTCAAAATCCTTTTAGGAAGTGGGGTATGCCTTCTGCTGTGTAGCCCTTTCCCCATGCATATATTCTTATGTTACCATGAAATATTCCAAAATACCTAAGAAATACATGCCCCGGACTCGATGGAAAGGTATAGAGGATCCCGTGTCCAGTCTTAAGGGGCATATACACTTCTAGATGGAATTCTAACAGTTGTAGTACTGCTGTAAAAGCCAAGGGAGCTTTTTGTAAAGCCTCCTCCAGTTGATCACTCATTCGATTTTTTTATAACTCAGTGAAGGCAGAGTAGAGGATCTTGCGGTAGTAGTTGGCCAAAAAAGTCCTGG